AGCCAAAGTCATCACATTGTCTCTTGACATCGAGTCTGCCAACTAGCTCCACCCTGCGCCCGAACTGAGATCCGGCGGTAAACCGTCAACCAGGTAACCGCCGGGAGCCTCGTAGAGCTCTTTTCTCGCGCGGCGCTCGAAACACACAGAGAAAGCTTTCTCACGCGTGCAGAAAAAAGCTCGAAAAAATACGTTTTTTCCGGTTTTCATCCAACGTCGGTTCCCTCTAATGTTTTAGTGATATTGCAGCTACGGACCTGAGAATTCGACTGGCAGACGCGGCATAACCCACTACACGTGAAAAAATCTGGTTTCTCAAAATGAATGATCAAATATCTTCCAAATCTTAGCAACACCGACCCTAAGTCACCACATTGTCTCTTAAGGTCGGGTCTGCCAACTAGCTCCACCCTGCGCCCGGATTCCTCTTAGGTAATATTGCCAAAGAGCTCTAGGAGGTACTAGCTTCACACTGCGCCCGAATTCCTCTTATTATGTCAAAAGAATAAGCAGAGAACGAATAGTTATTCAGCCCGAGCGCTGATAGCAGATGATCTCAGGCGTCTATATATATATGTATCACTATTGCCCCTGATGCTCTGTAGCTCATCTGCAGCACGAGTGAAACCAAGAAAAACAATACCATTCCCAAGAAAGCAGCAGAGTACGAATCAGTGTTCAGCCCTAGCGCTAATAACAGACTGCGTGGGTGTCTAGATACTTTCAAATAGCGCGCATAATCATTATCTTCCCATTGCAATGCCTAAGAGCTCTCAAGCTCATCTGCACCTCGAACTCAAACCAGGAAACGAATTCCATCACCAGAAAACAGCAAAATAATACTAGTTATGCGGCGTCTGTGCTCATAACAGACCCAAGTCAAGCGTCTAGATACTTCAGAGGATCGCGCCTCATGATTTTCTTCTGATTTCTGCGCAGAAGAGCTCTCAAGCTCATCTGCAGCTCGAGTTAAGTGGAAAAATCACCATCATTTCGAAAAACAATCAGTCGCATATAGTTTTGCGGACCTAGCTCGAGAAGCAGACTGCGCTCAGAGCTCTAGATGCTTCAGCCAAACGCAACTGATGATTCTAAATCGGTTTCAATGCGCACCAGCTCTGTAGCTCTGCTACAGCTCGAGTTAAGTACCGAACACCGACAGCGCCTGTAAATTGAATTTGAAGAATACGAGTAGTTTCGCGGACCTAGATCGAGTAGCAGACCGAGTTCAGACCTCTCGATGCAACAGACGAACGCGTCTGGTGATACTGGATCAGTATATGTGTGTACCAGCTCTGTAGCTCTTCTAAATCTTCAGTTAAGTACAGAAAACCGACAGCACTCGTCAAAATGACAAAGAATACGAATAGTTTTGCGGACCTGGCTCGAGTAGCAGACCGAGTTCAGACCTCTGGATGCAACAGACGAACGCGACTGATGATTCTGGATCGGTTTCTGTAAGTGCGAGCTCTGTAGCTCTCCTAAATCTCGAGTTAAGTACAAAAAACCGTCAACGCGTCTCAAGATGACTCGAACCAGAGTCGGTTCCTCCAAGTGTTATTTTGCAGCTACGGACCTGAGAATTTGACTGGCAGACGCGGCATAACCCACTACAGGTGCGAAAAATCTGGTCTCGAAAAATATTCAAATATCTTTCAAATCTTAGCAAAACCGACCCCAGGTCACCACATTGTCTCTTAAGGTCGGGTCCAACTAGCTCCACCCCGCGCCGGAATTCCTCTTAGCTCATCTTGCCGAAGAGCTCTACGAGGTATTCCTCTTAGCTCACTGGGCGCCGGCGGTAAACCGTCAACCTTTCTTACCGCCGGAAGACTCGTAGAGCTTCCTTGCCATATATTATGTCCAAAGAATTGGCAGAGAACGAATAGTGTTTCAGCCTCAGCGCTGAAAGCAGACTGATCTCAGGCTTCTAGATATATTTCACTATTGCCCCTTACGATTCCCTTCCCATTGTTGCGCTGAAAAGCTCTGTAGCTAATCTGCAGCACAAGTAAAACCAAGAAAAACAATAGCGTTTCCAAGAAGTAGCAGAGTACGAATCGGTGTTCAGACCTAGCGCTAATAGCAGACTGAGCGCGGGTGTCTAGATACTTTCAAATAGCGCCCACTGACGAATATCTTCCCATTCCAATGCCTCAGAGCTCTCCAGCTTCAGCACCTCGAGTTCAGCCCAGGAAAAGAATTCCATCACAAGAAAAATAAAAGAGTATGACTAGTTCTTTGGCGTTTGCGCTCATAACAGACCCAAGCCAAGCATCTAGATACTTCGACTAGAGCGCCTCATGATTTTATTCCGATTCATGTGCGGAAGAGCTCTCGAACGCATCTGCAGATCGAGTTAAGTGAAGAAATTCACCATGTACAGAAAACCGACAGCATCTGTCAAGATGACTCGAAAATACGAACAAGTTCGCGGACCAAGCCGTCCTACAGCTCGAATTAAGTCCAGAAAACCGACAGAACCTGTCAAGATGACTCGAATAATACGAATAGGTTCGCGGACCTAGCTCGAGTAGCAGACCGAGATCAGACCTCTAAATGCGACAGATGAACGCGCCTGATGATTTCGAATGGGTTTCGGTAAGTATCAGCCCTGTAGCTGTCCTACAGCTCGAGTTCAGTACAGAAAACCGACAGCACCTGTCAAGATGACTCGAATGATACGAATAAATTCGCGGACCTAGCTCGAGTGGCAGACCGACTTCAGCCCTCTGGATGCAACAGACGAACGCGCCTGATCATTCTAAGAGGGTTTCTGTAAGCATCAGCTCTGCAGCTGTCCTACAGCTCGAGTTAAGTTAAAAAAACAACAACGCCTGTCAAGCTGAGTCGAAGCAGCCGATCCCGCCAGAGTGCTTTTTGGCAGTGAAAGGTACCCGATCGAGCTGAGACGAAGACGGCGAGCGGGAACGAGATCGAATATCACGGAAAAAAATACTAGAGCTCAAACGAATTGTTGAATTTCGAAAACAAAATTTTGAACCGAGCAAAAGTCATGAAAAAGTCCGTCGAGATTGTTCTTACCAACTAGCTCTCCAGCGCGTTCGAATTACTCTTAAGCTTCCAGCAACTGGGCGCCGGCGGTAAGCCGTCAACCTTTCTTACCGCCGGGAGACTCGTAGAGCTTCCTTGCCATATATTATGTCCAGAGAATTGGCAGAGAACGAATAGTGTTTCAGCCTCAGCGCTGATAGCAGACTGATCTCAGGCTTCTAGATATATTCCACTATTGCCCCTTACGATTCCCTTCCCATGCTGTGCTGAACACTCTGTAGCTCTTTGCAGCACAGTAAAACCAAGAAACACAGCATCATTTCCAAGAAGTAGCAGAGTACGAATCGGTGTTCAGCCCTAGCGCTAATAGCAGACTGAGCGCGGGTGTCTAGATACTTTCAAACAGCGCGCATGACGATTATCTCCCCATTCCAGTGCCTGAGAGCTCTCCAGCTCATCTGCACCTCGAGTTCAGCCCAGGAAACGAATTCCATCACAAGGAAAAAAGAAGAGCACGACTAGTTGTTTGGAGTTTGCGCTCATAACAGACCTAAGCGAAGCGTCTAGATACTTCGACTAGCGCGCCTCATGATTTTCTTCTGATTCATGTGCGGAAGAGCTGTCGAACTCATATGCAGATCGAGTTAATTGAAGAAATGTACTATCCTTTCGAAAAAAAAACCGTCGAATACAAATAGTTTTCCGAACCTAACTCGGTACGAGACTGAGTTCAGACCTCTAGATGCAACAGACGAGCGCGCCTGATGATTCTGAATCGATTCGTCTGCGTACCAGCTCTGCAACTCTCTACATTCCGAGTTAAGCACAGAAAACGGACAGCATCTGTCAAGATGACTCGAATAATACAAATAGGTTCGCCGACCTAGCTCGAGTAGCAGACCAAGTTCAGACCTCTAGATGCAACAGATGAACGCGCCTGATCATTTTGAATGGTTTTCTGTCAGCATCAGCTCTGTAGCTGTCCTACAGCTCGAGTTCAGTCCAGAAGACCGACAGCACCTGTTGAGATGACTCGAATGATACAAACAGGTTTGCGAACCTAGCTCAAGTAACAGAACGAGTTCAGACCTCTAGATGAAATTCAACAATTCGTTTGAGCTCTAGTATTTTTTCCGTAATATTCCATCTTATTACCGCTCGCCATCTTGATCTCAGCTCGATCAGGTACCTTTTACTGCCAAAAATCACGCTGGCCGGGCTGTTTTGAATCATCTTGACAGGCGTTGTCGGTTTTTTATACTTAATTCGAGCTGTAGGACAGCTACAGAGCTGATACAGGCGCGTTCGTCTGCGGCATCCATAGGTCTGAACTCGGTCTGCTACCTAGGTCCGCGAAACTATTCGTATTATTCGAGTCATCTTGACAGGTGCTGTCGGTTTTCTGTACTTAACTCGAGCTGTAGGACAGCCTCAGAGCTGATACTTACAGAATCTATTCAAAATCATCAAGCGCGTTCATCTGAACAAAATTTTCACCCAAGCAAAAGTCAGCAAAAAGTCAAACAAGCTCTCCAGCGAGTTCGAATTACTCGGATCCGGCGGTAAACCGTCAACCTGGTTTTTTGAGTTTGAGTCAGGGCGCGGACAGCTGTGACAGCTGAGCCCTAAGACTCCCAAACGGAGCACAGGGTAGCTAGAGAAGGCACCTCTTATCATCACACTGCCGAGCCACTGAGGCATAGGCATCGGAATAGGATGCAGGAACAAGGAAAAGGATGCAGCACCACAACATGTGAGAATGCAAAGGTGTTGGAACAGGTTAGAGAATGGTGTAAGAGCTGGTTGAAACGCTACCCAAAAACGTGTTCCACGGCCATACAATGCCGTTTTACTGCATTGATCAAAGCAACAGCCGATCAGCAGCATATACTTCCACAGACCGCCCTCCAACAAAGAAACCGTGGAGGCCGACTAGTTCATGTTTACGTTGTATATCCGGCGCCAGGCGCCAGTCAAGGCCACAGTTAAGGCCAAAAGGTTACACAAAGGTTCCTAATGTGGCTCTGCAAGCGTTGTTCCATCAACCGTTGAGCACCACTTGAGTAGAATGTCAAGCACCGCCAATGTCCGAAGCACCACCCTGCAATACGGTGCATCCTTATCTTGTCCAACCGACACAGCCCACAGGTTCTCTGGATGTCCGCGTCCTCCTCCCCATCACGGCGCAAAGCCTCACAGAAACGTTGCAGAGCAGCCTGCTTCAAGTAAAAATTTGCCCTCACTCGCTGGGTGGCCATATTATCCCATGCGTGGGAGGCCGCATCCAAATCAGCGTCCTCATCGCACTCTGATTGATAGTCATGCAACTCATCCACCTCCGTCTCCTCGTCGCCTCCGGGCAACAAGGGCACAATTGGGGCGGGTAGAGCGGAAGAAACTGAATCGTGAAAAGAGGACGGAGTTTGGGGAGGATCGCAAGTAGATTGATGGGCCGACTTTGACATAGAAGAGCCAGTTAGAACTGCCTGAGCCCTCGCCCTTGCCTGCCTCCTGTTTCTGCGGTGCCTCTGGCCTTTCCCACGGCCGGGATCCTCCTCAGGAGTCGGCGCCTCCTCGGGACTCTCAATTCCCATTCGAAGTTTGTATGCCTTGAGCGCCTCGATCCGAGCATGAAACTCATCTTTCGGGAGCCGTTCGAATTCCCGCCAAAGAGCAACTGCATCGTCATTGGCACGGGCCCAGTCCCTGGCAGCCTGACACTCAGATCGATTGCTCTGCAACTCATCTGAACAGAGCCGGGATGAAGATGCACAGTTATCTTTACGCTGGTCAACTTCGCACTCTCCGTGGGTTTTCGAGGATGCCAACGGCAGCGCCTCGGGGCCTCCACCTTCCCTTTGCACTCGAGAATAATCCAAAGGAACTGAGTGCAGAGAATAATCCAAAGGAGCTGAGTGCAAAGAATAATCCAAAGGAAATGCGCGCAGTACAGCATAATTTGATTGAGAAGCAAACCACGCTTCTTCAGCAGCAACTGCCGTAGAACTCTCCACAGACTCAACATGAACATTCTCCTCCTCCTCGTCCTTGAAATCCTTAAGATCCCCCTGCCAATCCTTTCCATGGCGAGCCGGGTCTGCGTCAGAAGCTGAAGTGTGGCACACTTCAGAGCGTGAAGCCATATAATATGTATGATGAGAATAATGCAACTGCTCATTCAGCAACTCCTCATTCTGCAACCCCACATCCTGCAACTCCTCATCTCGCAACTCCTCTTTCAGAACACCTGGGTCAACAGCGGGAACATTTGAATCGGGAACATCATGATGTTACGAAACCTCCTCCTCCTGTCTCTGCGAATAATCAGACCCAGCCGGCGACCAAAGGTTATGCGAATCAACATAAGCAACTTCAGCAATCAGATGCAAGTCCGATTTCTTGTCTTTCTCACTGGTCTTCGGCTCTGGCACCGATAAGGAACTCAACAATATATTGACCTGCTCCTCCAAGTTCCCCTGAAACGGGCATGGGTTTCGCGCACAATCATCGAGGTTATCAAACCAGCCAAACGTGGGGAAGGTATTCGGATCAGCCACCAAATATGGATCACGAGCATTAAACTGCATAATATCAAATACAGCTTGTCTACAAATCGCCAGTTTGATTATCCTCGCTTTTCTTTTCCAGCTGGTCGAAACAGAACTAATCGAACAAAGTTGCGCTGTCATGATGCCGCACAAGGAAGGGGCACGCAAGAACAACTGATCAGACAGAGAAATCAATCCAACGCCGACAGATCACCCGTTGGGTACACAGAGATGTACGAGGGAAGCGAAATCTGGCGGGGCAAAATTTCCTGTCCGCACGATGCGGCTTGAGCCAAATGGCTTGAGCCAAAATGGCTACGGCCGGGGACCTCGTAGAGCTCTTTTCTTGCACGGCGCTCCTCGGAACACGTGAAGGAAGCTTCTGGAGCGAGACCCGAAAAACTGGAAAATCCAGTTTTTCTGTGTTTATCCAACGTGGCTTGCTCCAAGTGTTTCGGCAATAATACTGCACCTACGGGCCTGAGAATTTCACAGGCGCACGCGTCATAACCCACTCCAGGTGCGGAAAATCTGCTTTCTCAAAATAAATGGTTGAATATCTTTTAAATATTCGCAAAACCGACCCAAAGTCGTCACATCTTCTTTCTGGTCGGGTCGACCAACTAGCTTCACTCCGCGCCGGAACTTGGTCGCGCATTGACAATTTTTGGTGTCAACATGAAGTCGGTTCCTGGAAGTGAACTGATATTAAAACTGGATCTAGAGAGCGGAGCTGCTCTGGGAACAAAAAAAATATGCCAATGCTCGGCGTAAAAATTTGCTTTCTCAAAATGAATTGTCAAATATCTTTCCAATATTAGCAAAACTGGGCGCCGGCGGTAAAACGTCAACCTTTCTTGCCGCCGGGAGACTCGTAGAGTCTCCTTTCCATATATTATGTCCAAAGAAGCAGCAGGGACGAATGTTTTTTCAGCCCGAGCGCTGATAGCAGACTGATCTCAGGCGTCTAGATACTATTGCCACTGATAATTTCTTCCCATTGTTGTGCTGAACATCCAGCCAAGCGGCGCCTCATGATTTCCATCTCATGCATGTGCTAAAGAGCTCTCAATTTAGGTGACGAGATTTACCGTCATTTCGAAGAAACCCAGCTCGAGTCGCAGACTGAGTTCAGAGCTCTAGATGCTTCAGCCGAACGCGCCTGTGATTCTAAATCGATTATGTGTGCGTACAAGCTCTGCAGCTATACTAAAGCTCGTGTTGAATACAGAACGGACAATGTGGTAACTTTTGGTCGGTTTTGCTAAGATTTAAAAGATATTGAACCATTCATTTTGAGACAGCAGATTTTTCGCACCTGTGGAAGACTATGAGGGCCTCTGCGTCTTAATATGAGCTATGTAGGCGCACTTTTGTTATATATATATATATATATATATTATATTTTATTTTTTTTTATCTTTTTTTTTTTAAAAAAAAAAAAAAAAAAAAAAAAAAAAAAAAAAAAAAAAAAAAAAAAAAAAAAAAAAAAAAAAAAAAAAAAAAAAAAAAAAAAACTTGTTTGAGAAATGCTTCGAGAAGCTCTCTCTTTCGATTATGAGCACTCTCGCGTGCGGAATGAGCTCTACGAGGTCCCCGGCGGTGACCAGGTTGACTGTTCACCGCCGGCGACAGCACAGAACATCGACAGCGCCTGTTCAGAGAACTCGAAGAATACAAATGGTTTCGCGGACATGGCTCGAGTAGCAGACCCAGTTCAGACCTCTCGATGCAACAGACAAGCACGCCTGATGATTCTGAATCGGTTTCTGTGAGTACCAGCTCTAAAGCGTTTCTACAGCCCGAGTTAAGTACTGAAAACCGACAGTCCTGTCAAGATGACTCGAAGAATACGAACAGCTTTGCGGACCTAGCTCGAGTAGCAGACCGAGTTCAGACCTCTAGATGCAACAGACGAACGCGCAGGATGATTCTAAATTAATTACATATCCGTATCAGCTCTGTAGCTCTCCTACAGCTCGAATTAAACACCGAAAATCGACAGTATCCGCCAACAAAATTCGTAGAATACGAATAGTTTCGCGACCTAGCTCGAGTAGTAGACCGAGTTCAGACACCTAGATGCTAGAGACGGACGCGCCTGATGGATATGAATCGGTTTCTGTGAACAAACATCAGCTCTGTAGCTCTCCTACAGCCCGAGTTGAGTACAGAAAACCGACAACACCTGTCAAGATGACTCGAATAATCAAATAGTTTCGCGGACCTAGCTCGAGTAGCAGACCCAGTTCAGACCTCTAGACGCAACTGACGAACGAGCTTGATGATTCTGGATCGATTTCTGTAAGTTTCAGCTCTGTAGCTCCTCTACAGCTCGAGTTCAGTACAAAAACCTTCAACGTGTGTCAAGATGACTCGAAACGGCCGATCCTGCCGCAACGCTTTTTGGCAGAAAAAGGTACCCGATCGAGTTGAAATCAAGATGGCGAGCGGGAATAAGATCGAATATGGTGGGAAAAAATGCTAGAGCTAAAACGAATTGTTGAATTTTGCGAACAAAACTTTCAACCGACTAGAAGTGACCAAAAGGTCCGTCGAGATTTTTCTTACCAACTAGCTCTCCAGCGCATCAGAATTACTCTTAAGCTTCCAGCAACTAGCAAAAGGGAGCTCTACGAGTTACCGACCAAAAGTCATCACTTTGTCTCTGGTCGGGTCGATCAACTAGCTCCACCCCGCGCCGGAATTTCTCTAGCTCATCGGCGACGAAGAGCTCTACGAGGTAGTGTCCAAAACCCGGAGAGCAATGAGGCACTCGCAAAAACACTGGAAGCCGGCGGTAAACCGTCAACCAGGTTACCGACAGGAGCCTTGTAGAGCTCTTTTCTCGCACCACGCTGCTCGGAACAATAGGAGAAGCTTCCCTACGCGTGAGCTCAACAACTTATTACGTTTTTCAGTTTTTACCGAAAGTCGGTTCCGCCAAGTGTTTTGATAGTAATACTACAACTACAGACGTCAGAATTTTACTGGCAGACGCGGCATAACTCACTGCAGGTGCGAAATTAACCAGTTCTCAAAACGAATTTCAAAATCTCTCACAGTCTTCGAAAAACCGACTCCAGGTTGACACATTGTCCGCCCGGGCCGGGTCGGCCAACTAGCTGCAACCCGCGGCGGAATTCCTCTGACTCATCGATGCCGAAGAGCTCTACGAGGTACTCGATAGCGTCCAAAACCCGGAGAGCGAAGAGACCCTCGGGAACGTTAAACTTGGTAGCCTCCACTTGGTAGCGTCCAAAAATGGGAGCCGGCGGTAAACCGTCAACCAGGTTACCCCCGGGACCCTCGTAGAGCTCTGAATAGACCAAGTCGGTTCCCAGATAACAGCAGAAAAACGCTTCTCAATACCAGCTTGAAAAACAAAGAAATGTTGTTTTCGGTCTTACACAATTTTGGTTCCCCCTAGTCTTGTGATCGAAATAATGCAGCTAGAGCCCTGAGGATTGCACCATCGAAAGCGCCATGACTACATAAAATAAAAATTCAAATTTGCAGAACGAATTTCAAAATCTCTCGCAACTTGGTTGGTGCCGGGGTCGGCTACACAGGGCGCGAGCGCCCTAGCCGCGCAGAGCCCCTAGAGGCCCTCACGCCCTCTCAACCACTTTGGGGTTGGAGGCCCGAGAATGCCAGAGATAAGCTGCCGAACACCTTGCAGCAGGCGTTCACAAGCTGCAAGCTCGCTTTCTGTAACAGTGGCCCACAGAGGGAGCAAAGAAGCCCCCTGGAAAACTCGTCGCCAGTGGTTGTCCCCAAGAGAGACCTCCACATAGCAACCTAGAGCAGAGCCTTCAACACTCACGCCACCGTCCCATCCTCCACGGATACGTCTGATACAATGTCTCTGTTGTCGTAAATATCTCAAGTCAATCCATCTTCCCGTCCTCCCCCTCCTCGCCTCCCAAGTCAGCTCATCCGCAACACGATTGAACTCTCGGTAGATATGCTTCCACAGATCCGTCCCTACAGTGGCACACCTGATGTCGTAATCCTCTGCAAGTTGATTCATATCATTCTGTAGACCGTGCACTCTCCTGCGGTACAAACGATCGCGGCATTCCCAGATCCCTCGGGCCCAGTTCACCACACACAGACTATCTCCTGTCATTTCAACCGATATTGGGCCGTCCGAGCCCTCCTGCCAGACAGTTTCGTTGTTGTACCCGTGGGCAATCCTACGAGCGAGCCTCTCAGAGTCCTCAGGCGAGCCCCACGCATCCACAGGACAAGGGGCGCGGGGCGGTTTCTTGAAGATGGGTTCCCATCGAGGCTGTACTTTCGTCATGCACGCAACCACATTCCACCAGTCCGTAGCATTCCACTTGATGCTGAACCAGCGCAAATTACCACTCGCCGCCAGCATGAGGCAATGCCAGCTGTCAGTACTTGCATGCGCTCTCCCTCCCACTCTCCTCGTACCTTCCCTCCTCCTGGCTCCCGTGAACATGGATACGAGTGTGTCCCTCCGTATTGACAATTCCCCCGCGCAGTGTAACATAGCCTGCAGCGTCTGGCGCCACGCTCGTGCTCCACGCACGTCTGAGGAGGCAAAGGCCCTATCATGAAACTGGGCAACCTCCAGCGCAGACTCGAAGTTGGCTCTGACCACCTTCTCTAGAAGACTGCAGTGGCCAGCCTGCAAGAATAGCTCGTAAGATTTCGGTGTGGTTCTGTCCCTGAACTCCTCCCACGTCTCCTCCTCCCCCTTGTGCAGTCCTCGCATTCCGTTGAGACACCTCCCCTCCCATACCTTTATCCTCTCCAACAGTCGTAAGTTGCACGGCCAGCCTATACATTCGTGGTACACCACAGACTGCACACGAGCGGCAGACCTGCGAAACTTCTCCTTGAGTGAGACCGCTCTGGAGCGATAAAACCGTATGTCTGCCAGATAGGCCCCCCTCCCCTTCTCCAGTCGATGATACAAACCGTGGTAACCTTTTATTTCCGAACTGAGCTTCACTCCTAGGACCTCCACCTCCTCCTTCCTCGGCATTACAACAGCAGAGCGCAGATGATCTGGGAGATCCTCATCCCCAGAAATCGAACAGATGGCTGGCGAAAGCGAGCAGAGCAGCGGCAGGTCGCCGCAGGTGTATGTCTGGCCAAAGAGTACA